AACCAAGGCGTGGCTTCCGATTGGCTGCAGGAGCTTCCTGTGCTCAGTCGGAAGCCACATTGGATGTTCGGCTTCCAAAAAAACGTTCGCAAGCTAGAAAACTTACTTCTTGGTTTGCGGAATTCGGGAGCCAATTTGTTCGGGAGCCAAGCCATTTGAAAGCCAACGTACCGCTGTACTGTTATTATTTTTCATTCTTCAATTGCTAAATCACACCTTTCTGAGAGCAAGGTTTTCAAAATAATTTGCAGTAATGACTTTGTATTTGGGAGCTAACGTCTGTCAAAGGTTTTGTACAGTCTACATGAGAAATCATAACTCCAGCTATTTTGGAATTTAAGTAGCTGCCTCATACCAACTCAGACCATCTGCCCATCTATCTCCAGGACAGCAGTGGCTTTGCAGAATTTCAGACAGTCCTACTTGGAAATGCTGGGGATTGAACTTGGAATCTTCTTCATGCAAAGTGGATGCTCTACCACTCACCGACAGCAATTCGCTTGCCAAAAAAATATATATTTTATAGAAGAGTTTGTAAAAAATAATCATAATCAGGACAGTGAAAGTTCTTGATGTTTTACTATAATTCCTATATTCTGTATTTCTACATAACATGCTATAGGTGCACAAAAGAATCATCCCAGGTTTCAGGAGAGGCCAATCTTCCTCTTGCCCATATCTGGGTGTACACATGCAATATCCCCTTTATCCCCTTTAAACTTTCCCTGTTGCTTGGATATCAGTTACCAAAGTTCAGAGCACTATAGCTTTGCTTCAAATTTTATTCAGCATTCACTTGGCAGCGTGGGGTCCCTTTTTATATAGGCTGTTTTTATATAGTTCTGAACTGTATTTACACTTTTTCTGAATTATGAATGAATCATAGTGTATTTTCTTTTGTTTTTCATCTCATCAGTTAACTCATCTTTAATTAAATATAATCCTACCAATAAAACAAAAGAAGCAGCAGTACTCAGAGCATAAAAAATTGGTACGAATCCCATTTTTCCAGTTTGTAAGTGTGATTTCTAAAAATATGAAGCTTAATTCATTGCTTTCAAGGTGCGCAGTACAGTGGTACCTTGGTTTACAACCATAATCTGTTCTGGAGGTCCGTTTGTAAACCAAAACAGATTGTAACCCAAGGTTACAATTGGCTTTTGCCAATGGGGCCTCCCAAAAAAAATTGTTCGTAATCCCCCCCCCAAAAGAGTTGTAATCCAAAAAAAGTTTGCAAACCGGGACACGCACTTCCGGGTTTGACAAGTTTGTAATCCAAAATGTATGCAAACCAGACTGTTTGCAAACCAAGGTACCACTGTAATGTCTTGGCACAATAGAATAGGGAAAATGGTGGGACTAAGAATATGAGTGTTAAATTCCCAACACACACACACAAGCAGGCAGAGCTGTCCTACCTGTGGAATTTTATAGTTATTCAAGAGAGTTCCCACATTAATGGAAATTTGGACATCCAGTCCCCCAACAACTGCTATTAGATTTTTCTGGCTGTCACATAGGTAGTTAGGGATGACTCTTTCCAATGATGATAGAAGTCGCATTGTGGCATCATAAGTCTTCCTTGCATTGTTATAGCTGTCATAGATGTGGAAGCCCAATGTGAGATTGGGTAAAATCTGAGGGTTTTCGTTGATCTCTTTTACTGCAAATGCCAAAGCCAGGATATGCTGGTAATGCTTACTGACTGTGCTGGAATAAAAGTGAGATTCTGTATCAGAAGGCTATTCTAACCTTAGTTTAGTTATTGCTGATGTGTTCTGGGTCTCCTTTATCAATAATTAACCATTACAGTATTTATATATAATATTTCTATGTTGGCCTACATAAATATAAAGGCTGAAGTATAGGAGTGGTCACATTTAGAAGATCACACGCCTTATAATATTTCATCATTAGCTTTTTCTTTTTTTGAAAATTCAAAATGAAACTAAAAGCGTAGCTGAACAGAGGCAAGGGGTGAATATTCACCATAGGCTTAAGAAATCTTTGCTAAACATGCTGGTGAACATAATGCTTTCTTTTCCCTTGAAATTTTATTTACTGTGTTTTCTTTGCATGGTTGTTCTTTAAAGGGTTTCAAGATGCCCGTATTGAGCCACCTGAGCTTGAGCTGCCTGAACAGTTTAAATCTGAAACGTGGACATACTGGGGGCATGGCGGCAAGGGACCACAGAGGGAGGGCATTAAACTGGATCATAAGCATGTTCTGCTTAGTCGCATTACCTAGCAACCTGGAATAGAATACCATTTTTAAATTCTTTGTTTTCCCTCTCCCTGCAGGGCATCAGTAGCTGCTTTTCTGCTGCATTAGGTTTGGATCTGGTGTAACTTTATGCTGCTTTAATTTATACCAGTTTGCTTTACACCAGCTTCTTGCACATAGGATTGCTCCATTAGTTTTGTATTAGCATGCAAGTCTCCATAAAAGAAGTTTTAAATAAATAACCAATAGAGTAAAAAGGACTAAATAAGCCTCAAGCAAACTTTTTGAGAAGTCCAATTTTGTTAAGGAAGAAAATTTATTAAAAGAAGGAAAGCCAGCCAACTGAGGTAAGAGTGGAGATGAACAGGAAGACACAAGTAGAGAGGAGAGTAACTATGGAGGGAAATGTGCCTTAGCTATCAATGGCAAATACAGATGTACAGTGGACCCTCCCTCTGGGGGTCCGTTTGGACCCCGAAAATTATGTAAATAGAGGTGCACTCTGTGCACATGCGCAGCGTGATTGAGCGCTTCTGCGTACACGGTGGAACCCAGAAGCATACGCTTCCAGGTTTGCTGCGGCTGTAACCTGAAGATTACATATCCAAAGGGATATGCAAACAGAGGTATGACTGTATATACACACACCAACACACATACTCATATATTGTAATACATCTGTAGGTATATATAATATACCCACCCACTAACTCGGGGGTAGCCAATGTGCTGCCCTCCTCCAAATGCTTTTTGTACCACAACTCCCTAATACCTGCCCATTGGACATCCTGGCTGGGGCTGATGAGAACTTCTAGTTCAGTTCAACAACATCTCATGAGCACAATATTGCCTACTGCTGCAGGAAGTGCAGTGATGTTTTCCCTACAGCCCAAGCCAAGCAGCCAGATTTCTAAGGCTGCAGCAATAGCACCCATTCACCCTGTGACAATAGTTTGTTAAATAAAATAAGTGAATAAAATACATAGGAGGAAAAGTAAACAGTCAGTAAGGCCATACACAAATTGTTCTCCCAGTTTTTGCCGGGGTTCTTCCATGAAGTGTATTTCACTGATGATGAATCCAGCGTGATAAGCAACCCCACCAATGATGACATCTCCTGGATGGTGAAATGTGTGAAGAGGAGGCTGTGGATAATAGATATTACATTGAACAATATGTGCCTTGCATGTCATGCAAGGAAACAGAACCAGCAGGAAAATGATTAAAATCGCCATCCTCGGTACAAGGGCAAATCTTCCCTCTCTATATAAATACCTATATTTTCTTCTACAGTAGAAGCATTAAACTTCTGCCATTAAAACTGCCCACATTGAACATTTTGCATTTCCCTGAGAGGTCTGAAGCCTGGAATAACAAAGATCAGTTCCCAGTCCCTCTCTTTATCTCTGAATTGTACTGGGATATTTAGGATGACCTTCACAGTCTTTGTTCTTTGTTTTCCTAGTGGCACCTGAAACTCCACAGGGGTTTGGTTGAACATAGTAACTAATTACTGTCCTCCTGACTAGGTAATTGTGTAGTTAATTATTACATTAAAGGCAATTCTTAAGCGAAGGATTTGGAGTCCTTTTGGAATTAAGAAACATTTGCAGCACTTTTCATCTTAGAAAAACATGTGCCGGTAGCTCTTGAGTACCCCCAGAAAAAAAGGAATGGTTGTTTGTTATATTCTAAAGAAAGCTTTTCTCTCACACTTTAGCTACATATTAACATTCTCTGGAAAGTATAGAGGATTGTTTTTAACAACGTGACAAGCATTACACACCACCATCAAAAGTTCGGAGACAACATGATTCAGGACACTTTGAGAGTGAGATTGTTTTCAGCTGACTTCTTAACATTCAAAAAGCACCTTGCTGGGGGTGGGGCAGGTGGTAGCAGCAAAAATTGCTGAAAAGCAAAAAAAGACAGTACAATGGAGGGATGGGATACAGACACAATCTTTCCCCCTTACAAATCTTAATTCAGTTTCCCAAATTAAAATTTCATATTAGAAGAATGTGGAAGTCTGTTGGAAAATCTACATAGAGCAACTATAGAATTAAAAACTAAAAAGTATGATGAAGAGATGCAAATTCTTCAGGCCCTATTTCTTATTAGATGTTCCTTGTTGTTCAACTCAGGTCGCAACAAAATAATGTAGCATTTGGGAGCAAAGATGCAAGCCAGAAGACCAGCACCAGAGGCTAAGATAGAAAAGATCTCCACAGCTACCATGTGTTTTCCCTTTGTGCTGAGGTAGGTTGGAACAAAAGATACCCAGACACTGCAAAAGACCAACATGCTGAAAGTGATGAATTTTGCTTCATTGAAACTGTCAGGTAACTTCCTGGCAAAGAAGGCCACAGTGAAGCTGACAAGAGCCAGAAAGCCCATGTAGCACAGAACACAGTAAAACATAGTCACAGATCCCTCATTACACTCTAGAACAACTTCCTTAGCCATTGAGTGCATATCAACATCTGGGAAGGGGGGTGAGGATCCCAGCCACACAATACAGATGCCTGCTTGAATAAGAAAACAGGAAATAACAACGGAATTGGTCAGTCTCTTCCCCACCCACATCCTCATCCTAGATCCTGGTTTAGTAGCCATGAAAGCCAGAACCACTGTGATGGTTTTTGCCAACACACAGGAAACAGCTACTGAGAAGATGATGCCAAAAGCAGTTTGTCGAAGGAGACAGGTTGTCTTGTCGCGTCGGCCAATAAATAGCAATGCACAAAGAAAGCAGAGTAGGAGTGAGATGAGGAGAGTGTAGGTGAGGTCTCGGTTGTTGGCTTTGACAAGGGCTGTGTTGTGGTGCTTCATAAATGTTCCCAGAACCAGAGCAGTGATCAAAGAAAATGAAAGAGCAAAGCAAGCTAAGCTGATGCCCAAAGGTTCTTCATAAGACAAGAAACTTATATCCTTGGGAATACACATGTCCTGGTTCTTGTTTGGATATTCTTCATCTGAACATTTATTACAGTCATTCATGTCTATAAAAGAAAACATGTAGCCTTAGTCTCAGCAACATGCTGAAATTGCTCTTTCCTGACAGATAATGTTCTATGTTCATATGCTATAGCAATGTCAGTGTTTTTGTAGCTTTAAAGCTACGCTGAGCATCTCTTGACACTTCATACCACATTGTGACATTTATTTCAGTTAATACCTGGTCACAATATGATCTAATCTTAGGTCATGACCATAAAATATGTAAGAACCATATGTTTGGTAATTGATACATTTTGATTGGTTCTTGTATTCTGTTTATTTTCACCTTCTTCCTTCATTAATTAATTTTTGAGCATTTACAGTTTCCAGCCACACCAACAAGTCAATGGTGGTTGTTCTTCGTAGCCCTCTAGGGGTTACAAAAAAGTTCAGGCATGGGAAAGAGAGGAGATGAGGTGGGGGAGGGAGAAGTAAATTAAATATATATAAATACACAGACAAACAGACATGTAGAAAATAAAATGATGAAAACGATGTGGTCCTGGATGATCACAGAGTGATCTCCTTATTTCACATCCATTGAAGGAAGTGAAATTCAAAGGCAGGGCCCCTTAAGCTACATTACAAAAGTTAAGTGTCCATTTCACAAATGCATGAACCAGAACAGTTAAGTTGGGGGGGAGGGGAATCACAAGCTTCAATTAAAAAAAAGCAAACAAACAGGTAATGTGTTTGAAACCTCAGTGTGTAGGAGATACTAAACACTACCTTTGAAAGTTTTCTTCTCTGCTAAGATATCACCAGAACTACCCATTATATAGATACACAGAAGGCACCGTCATTTTTATTGACTGGATCTGTCTTTAATACCCTGATTCAAGGGATCTCGTATATCAGATACTTACCCTCCTGATCTGAAATCTTCCCTTCTGGACATGGGATGCAATCATAACAGCAAAATGGCTTTCCCTCTTTCATTTTCTTCCTAAAACCTGGGTGGCACCTCTCAGTACATAATGAAAGAGGCTGGGACTAATCCATAAAAGAGAGAGCAGAAAAATAATGTTCAGAATAATGAGATGAGAATCCTTTCCTTTGTGTGAACATTTAATTTGTTACTAAAGTCATACCTCTTTACAAGAGACTCCATCTCTGAGTGGAGTCAGAGGCAGCTCATCCTATTTTACCACCTGAGGCAAAACAGGAATTGCTGCCTCATGGCCCCTCCACCATGTCCTGGCTCTCACATAAATTGATGGGAGCCAGGGTGCTCCTCAAAGTGTTGCTGATCATTTTCCCTCTGAGAGAGGTCAATTGACAAAATTGTGTGCAGGAATAACCCGAGTCTACCAGAATTCAGTGGGAGTTGGGGTGCACTTCAAAGTGTTGCTGTTCACTTAGCTTCCCTGCACAGGGGCTTAGAAGATGAGTGGCAATGCTACTCAAATGGCTAACAATTGGGGCCTACCTGGTTAAACCAGTCATACCATGTAATGGCATTCGCATTGATACTGAACACTTGGTTGGCATCTACACTCCCAACTTTCACTCTGTGAAATGATTGGTTTGAAGAAACAATCCAGTTGATTATATCAAATCCAGCCACCAACTCCCCATTTTGGTCAAAAGAAATCTTGTCTCCTCCACTGTTGTTAAAGGACACGCTTCTGAGAAAGTGATGGATCTAGTTTGAATAAGGAAAAGGCCAGAATTTAGAAGCGGACACAGCTGGGCCTTTCATAATAAAATTGAACGTTGGGTACAACATTCTGAGTGAGAAAATATTCATGATAAATGTGCTCACTCTTTAGGATTCAGAGATAGATTATACAGTTGCAATGCTCTGTCACTTGAGCCTATTACCTGCCCAAACTGTTGATTCTGATACCTCTGGCCTCCTCTGCCTTCCTTTGCTCTGAATCTAAATGAAGACTTGTCATGTAAAGCATGGGCTACAGCATAGACAGCATTGTAGATGCTGTAGCTGTGGCCATTCATTCCCATCTCAAAGAATGGTGCTGGAAGGCTCTCCAGTTTCTCCTCCCCAGTGCAAATATCCCCTTCCACATCTTCCACATCTGAATCTGAGAATACACAACTAAATGTCTGTTGCCAGAAGTCCTTGATAAAACCATCTTCTTTTGTAATGGAAGGATTTCGGGTCTCAAGAAATGGTTTGAAATTGGGGACGTAACTGGAATGAATTGTGAAGGACAGGACACCATGGAATATTTCTGCTTCCCAATTCTTTTGGTAACCCAAGGAAGTGAGCTCCATTTCAGCTGTTGATATCCACACTAAGCCCTTTGGTAGGCTTGGTGGATTTCTCGAATAATAGGGAAGCCATCTCAAAAACACCATGGAATTAGATTCACCATAAAACACAACTACATTGGTTGTACTTTTCATTATTACATTGTGTATTCTTGTCCCATCTTCTAGCATTTCATCCAGTTCAGAGCCAGAAGTTAACATAGGGACTCTTATTTTAAAGTCAAAGCAGACACCTCTCAGGTTAAATACTGGCAAAACAGCTTGCAAAAATCTTTCACCATTTTCATTATCCATTACAAGGACCCCAATCCATGTCCACCTGAAATGCAGAAGCAAAGAAAGAATCCCTTTGTACTGAAGGGCTTCATGGGGTACCATCTGGTAGAAAGAAAGTCCTAGGTTTCTATCATTCAACAATGGGACAGAGCCATATATGAGCTGAAGAGATGAAGAAGGCAATAATAATCAGATATATATTGTATATTGAAGGTTTTAAAACATATCCATGTAGGTTAGAAGCCAGTGTTGTTCCCTTTTCAGATGAAAGCCATATGTCAACAAGATAGGGAATTACATTTTGTTGATTCCCACTCAACTCAAGGGAAAGCACTGCTCCCTAAACCTGGAACAGTTATTTGTGGAGTATGGGGCTAAAGGGGACAAGAGGATTTTAAGAAAACAAACCAAAAACAAAACTCAGCTCGTCTGTAAGCTCCTTATGCAGCTACACTGGTTTCTTTAGGTGCCTCCCCCATTTCTTTCTTGTTGGAATCATCTGCATTTGTGCCTTCCACATTTCACCTTTAAGAAACTCCCATCCATCTTGGGCTCCCTTCTCTTTGAGTATTTCTGACCATGAGATCTCACCTAGTAGTTCTTTAAGCTTTTTAGAAATCAGCATTCTTACAATCCAGAGTGTATGTCCAACTACACATAGCTTTCCCTTGCTGCTAACTGTGTTTCCTCCTAATTGTGTCTACCTGGATGTCCTCATAAATAGTGAATGCTTATCTCCCTTGAACTCTCCTTGCTGCCTTGATATTAGTTACTCAAGTTCTGAGCACTTGATTTTCTTTAAATTACATGCAGAGTTCACCTGGCATACATTGTTCACCTGTTCACCTTCCATACATTGATGGTTTTTATGTAGTCCTATTTGCACTTAATTTTTTCTTCAATGGTGAATGTACTATGAAGAATATTTTCTTCTACAGTTTAACCCCTCTTTTAACCTCCTGAATTTAATACAATCGAAACAATAAAACAAAAGAAACAGCAGAACTGATAGCATCATAAAAACTCTATCAGCAACATCGGACTAAACTTCTTGTTTTTCAAGTTTGGCTCTGAGATGCATAGAAAAAATAAGTCTGTCTCTTTTTTTGCAAGGCACACATTAACGTCTTTGAATCATAGAATAGGAAATGCAGTATGTCTAAGAATATATGTGTTAACTCCCCATGTTACACCCACTCACCTACAGATAGAGAGATTCCTACCTGTGGAACCTTATAGTTACTCAAGAGAGTTGCCACGTGAATGGAAATTTGGGCATCCAGTCCTCCAACAACTGCTATTAGATTTTTTTGCTTGTCACATAGGTAGTTAGGGATAAATCTCTCCAGTGCTGATAGAAGCAGCATTGTGGCATGATAAGTCCTCCTTGCGTTGTTATAACTGTCATAGATGTGGAAGCCCAGAGTGAGATTGGGTAACAGCTGAGGATTTTCATTGATCTCCTTTACTGCAAAAGCCAAAGCCAGGATGTGTTGGTAATGCTTAGAGACTACACTGTAATGAAAGTGTGATTCTGTTTCAGAAAGTTATTCCACACTTTAAAAAAAAGCAATGTCACGGTCTTCTGTACCTACTTTTTTCAAAAAGCAAGCATTACAGCATTTATAAGGTATATATATTTATAAAAAGATAAACAACACCAGTGTTTACACTGAAATTTCAACAATGGACAATTAGCATATTTTGACCAATAGATGTATCATGGTGTACAGTATGCAAAGAGACTGGATAAAAGCACAAAAAAACTTTTCAACATGTCAATGAGCACCATTACTATTTGAATACTCAGAAATTATACATTTTAAATTAGGAGGGTGGTGAGGAGAATGACAACTTATCAAGTTATCATGGTTTGAAAATATTTTGTTTAATAACCCAAAGAAAGCAGTTTCCAAAATATACCGCCAGGCATTGCATTAGCAAAATTAGCCTATCATATTTGGAAAAATAAGCAGCAAATTTACTAAAAGAAAATCTTAGGAATGATTATTTATGGGGGAAGCTCAGTAACTTTCTTGTAGCTTCTCTACTGCAGGAAAATTGTTTAAAGGTGATAGATATGGTATCAACCCCTGATGATAATTTTAAATATGATGAGTGAGATTTTATCTATTGTACATGAATCTGTAAATCTGTTAATGGCTTTTGGAAGCTAAGATGGCAAGTTATTAATGTTATCTTAGTAGAAAGACTGAGGCTAGAACCTACAATATTTTTATTCAGAATTGTAAAAGGAATACTGTTTAAAGATCAGGAGGATATTGCCATTTTTCTAAATGGAATTGGGGTGGGTTTTTTTTGTTTTGTTATTCTATGCTTTCTTTATTTTTATGCTTTTATATTCTGTGTGTGCAATGACTGTAACTTATTTTATAAAGCTACCTTTTCTCACCAGACCCTCAACCCTTGCCTTAAACACTTTAGCTTTTTCCTACAACTCAACTCAAGACGCCAATGTTTCAAGGCTGTAGTTATCTCAGTGTCTGAAAAAGACAAGAAAAGCAAACAGTTATTAAGACCTTACACAACTGGTTCCATCAGCATAGGCAGAGGTTCTTCTTCGAAAGGTAGTAAGCTGGTGACGATGCCAGCATGATAAGCCACACCACCGATGATGAGGTCTCCTGACTGATGATATGTGTGAAGTGGAGAGTGTGGATAAACCATACTGCACTGAACAGTGCGAGCCTTGCATACCATGTGAGGAAACAGTGCCAGCAGCAAGAGCACTAAAACTACCATCCTCAATACAATATAAATCTTTCCTCTGCACATAAAGTCTCCCCGCTTTTATAGCACAATAACTACAGCTTCTGTGGTTAAAACTTCATGATTTGAACATTTTACATTTTCCTGATAAGCCTGAAGCGTGGAATATCCAAGATCAGAGTTGTGAACCTCCCCCTGTTCCCAGTCCTTCTCCCCAGCTCTGAATTGTATTGGGTATATTTATGACATCCTTCACAGTCTTTGCTCTTTATTTTGGTAATGGCCATGGAAATTCCACAGAGGTTTGGATGACTATCAGAACTAATTACTGTCCTTTAATTGAGAAGTCAAATGTTAAATTAAATGTAATTGTTGAGTTAAAATTGGAAAGTCCCTGTGCAAATGAACAAAGTTGTTTGTCTCATACTCTGGAAAGTTCTTTTTTGACACAGATTTTCTCTTTCAGTTAGGAAAGGAAGGGGCAAAAAAGTTTGAAATGAGAAAGACGACAACACTATTTTCAAAACAACCACCACAACCACAACGTTTCCTGTTGGCATTAGTTCAGCCTCTCCTACATTGAAGTCATTATTCTCCCCCTCCCCACAATGGCTATTTTGTATTATATGATGTCCCCAATATGGCCATTTTGTGAATGGTGCCCACAGAACTTTAAAAAAAATTCCAATGTGTCAACTGGCTTCAAAAAGGTGGTGATGGCTGGAAAGGGAACAGAAAAAAATGTGGGGTCAGT